ATATATGTATTTATGTATTTATATTTATATTTATAAGAAGCATATATTGAGTGTCTAAATTTAGTATATGTATTCTATTGTATATGAATATGCAGATGTTCATGTATATATATATATATCGATATATATATTCTTATATTATTATATTATAATATTATTATATTATTTTCTTATTATATTATTATATATTATTATCATATTATTATATATTATTTTATATTTTGTGTATAGATATATATGTTGTGTGTATATAGATGTATATATATATATACACGTCATGTAGAGGTTTTTTTCATATACTCACGTACGAAAATGTTTATAAACATAATTGCATATCAATACAAATTGCTTGTATGTTATTCGTTGTATGTATATATGTATTGTTCTCTTAATACTTAATATGTGATGAATTTCCTATGTTATCCAAACTTACTTTATGGATAGTATTGGTATCTGGTATATATTGCATACTGATACAACGACTAATTTTCCATTCTTAAAGCTTTGGCTATGATACTGCGAGTCAGCTGTTTTTCGCTCTCATACTGTGTAATTTACTCACTACGGTATTATCTGTGCAGAAAGCCTCAAAACCGCTGACAGTCACTGGCGTCTCATCATGCGTCGAAAAAGTCATGATATCCACTTCAGAATTGGCTGCTATCGGTACGAATATCTGCACATAGTGTGGGAATCAATGATCTGCTTAGTATTCGTTTTCTAGACTTGTGATTGGGATTTATTTATTACGATCGCATGAGCTGTATGAGCTATTCCGGAGAAGGTTATATGAAATGACCACTAGCACGGCATTGAGGGTTTACCTCCAACTGATTGAATTGTTGGTTTCTCTATCTGTATCTTTTCGCACTTAATAAATATATTGTTCCATTTGTGACACCCAGGCTGTTGTTATTTTGTTCTACAATAACATTATGAATGTTGCGGAGCTCCCGCGACAGGCATCCAGATGGATACGATTCTACCTTTATTGCGATATGGTAAATGGTCTAAATATTCATTGTCTCACAGGTGTTATCAAGGTCGACAAGGTGACCAAAGGGTTCTATGAGACCATTGAGATATACGAGCCCATCATGGAAGGACTCGTGAAGTATGTGATATTTGAAAATTCTATATTTGGCATTTAATAAGTTCAACGTATTCTATCACGGTTGGCTTGCTTTCTTACAGTAAATTTGCATATTCTTGGCTTTCAATGATTTCAATGAGAATATGGTGTATGTCGCTGTGCTGACTGTTGGTAATATACATTTGGAGAATGCAGAGCCATATTAGGTTCATTCTATCGATTCGAACATGATGAGGATTCTCATCAATTGTTATTTCTGCGCGCAAACCCTTTGTAAATTCTTTGTACTAAACCGATTCAAATGTTGCCTTTGTTATGCATAATGACAGATTGAAAGTTACGCAGCAGCGGCCGACGGTCAAAGTATCAATTCGATTGGCACAAACCGAAACCTCTAATGGACGGCGAAGTGGACAACAGCGGAAAGGGAATGAAGGTGGGGGTAACAAGAGAGCTGATGGGACGAGGGAAAGGGGCGAGGGACCATATAAACGGGTGGAGGGATCGAACATACACCACGAACGGGTAAATCAAAGAAAAGAAGGGACGAATAAGGAAGAGCTACGAAAGGAACAGAGCGGTAGCAAGCCTAAGAGGACCCATAGAAAGAAACCACACGCGGCGAGCGGGGCAAATGGTCCGAATGATCAGAAGGTTGGTGGTGAATCACGTAGGAAAATTTCGGGTGACAACACTACGACGGCGGGAACGGGCAGGCCCAGGAATAAGCCCAGCTCTGCCAATCGGAACAAACACAAGCCCCCGCGAGACAATAGCAACCACCAAAATAATCCGAGTGGGAGTAAGGCGTCAGGAAGAAATGCACATCAAGGGGATATGCAAGCGCCAGTGGTGAATGGGACAGCAGCGGGAAATGGCTGATTACGGGCGCAGTTTCATGTTTAGCTGCCGAGCACATCACATTTGTGACTACTCGGCTTTCAGGACGCTTTAGGACGCAACGAGAATCTTCTACAGTATAGCTGGGAAAGGGCTTTGAAGTTTATTACCTGTGTCATACTCGAGACTTCGAGCGATACACGCTTTTTCATATTGCGCGCAGAGCATATTCAAGGATATCACATGCTCACTCTTGTTCCCTTGTTCTTGTGAAAGGTATCAGTACGCTACTGCCGTTCAGACTAGTAAAGGTTTGGTATGATACTTGCGCTGCAGGTACGATAGGTTTCTGATCCTAAGTCGTGCATTATATTGATATCTATTTCGTACGCATGGCAGAACGCTTCAAAATATCTGACATTACGGGCCATCATAACTGTACTATTCTTGAACCTTCACGCTGCAACCAGATGAGAATGCCAGTGACATATCCACCGCCAGGGTTGTGTGTTGAGTGAGACTGCTTCTGTGATGTTCATCCCGCACACATGACAAACCTGTAACATAATCTCGCCGGCATTGTTATCCGGAGTGATGCGCATTGTTTTTACGTCGCAAATGGGGGACAACTTCCGCGATTCATACTCACATCGGGCCCATTGGTGTAACATTTCTCAGATTCCCAAATCGAGTAGTGAAAGCACGCTAGCGAGGCACTCGTCAGCACGATCGACTGCGGTAATTACACGTTAACCTTCACACCACACGAGTGGCAGAACGCCTGCAAAACATTTGGCATCATGGTTGTGCCGCACATGTAGCAGAAGTGTTGTCGACTTGGTGACTTGCGCTTGTTCGACGATGTGCTATTTGAAATGGGTTCACCGCCGGCCTGCAGATAATAGTTAATGGTCATATAGTGATTTGTGTGAGACGGGATATCAGGCAATCACACGTGGTCAGAGCAGATATGGACCGGCAAACACACATAAACGAAGATACGGCAACTCCGGGTGAGTAGTGGGGGGATGGGTTATACAGCAATATAGCTGCGAACAAAATTAACAACACAATATCACGCCTAATTACAATGCTATGACAAGCGTTTTGAATCGATTCGTAAGAGCGAATATACCTCGTCCATTGCCAAATCAGCGTCGTGGTCTTGCCGCGGTTCCTTGGCGGCCCGTTTGGGTGCTGGAACAACGGTGGAAGGCAAACTGGGGTTGGTTTCCCTGGCATTAGATTTGATATCTAGGCAGGCCGCACCCTGGGCTGATGGCATGTAAGTGAGAGATCCAATGAAAAGTACCTAACCATTAAGTGGTCGCGCAAACTAAGCTTCGATGACACCGACACAGAGTTGCCAAGATTGCAATCAACTTTGACGGTGTGATGCATACCTTTGAGAGCAATCCAGGTGTCAATTAGATCTACAATTTGATTTTCCCCATTCTGAAATAATGAACACGGAATAGCATGTTGTAGTAGGAAAATCAAAGGGTTGTTCTACACTTATGTGTGTTAAATTATGTACTGCATATGCTAAGATTACTGTTGACAAAGAAAAGGTACAGTTTTCAAGGATCAATTTTTATGTTGGTCATCCACTGGTATTTTACTGAGTGCATTTTACGTGCCAGCCTCGCCAATACAGTTTAATGTGTATTTCCTCAACCGATATATGAATCTCAACAGCGTTGAGCTTAGGTACATGCATCAATGCAAGTTTGACCCAACTATAATTGCGGGTGACCATAGACAACCCCCACACCTTCCGGCCATGTGACCACCTTAGGAGTACGTACATACCTCTAGAGCCGCCGATCTTGGTGTGCGGCTGTCCTGGTCGACTAAGCGGATATCTGCACCCCTCTGCAGCAGTATGAGACACATCTCTTGGTGCCCCTGTTTTAACAAGTTGAAAATATAAGCAGATCTATATGGCGACTTGGATTCGCGAGACAACCAGCGATGCCTCTATATAAAAGTCCAACTCGGTGACGATTGTGGATGTGTACGGAAACGTAGAACAAAAGTAATCACATACGGCCGTATCGTCGATTTGTCGCCCACTAGCATAATACCACTAACATTATCAAACGAAGTTCTTAATCTCAGGTATTCGCGACAATAAAATGATTGACAAAATTATGTATCCCAAGTGTTGGCGAACATAACATGAACAGACTAGAACAAATAAATATGTAGATCAATTTTCAACAAATCACTATAGAAACCCAAATGTGTTTCAAAATATATAGAACCAAAACGACAATTATAAATATCAACAGAAAACATCATATATATATATATATATAT